GGACACCGTTTTCGTCAAAGTGCCGGTGGTTTATCCGCATGTGCGTGCGGATTTGCCGTTGCAACCGCTTAGCCGTAGGAATGCGTGCGTAGCTCTCAACGTTTGTACGTTATGTGGGTGGTTAATTCCGATTTAATCTAAGAATGGTCATATGGTTTATGGTGCACTCAAAAACATAATAGCTTGGCCCTCTCAAGTTTGCGTAGTAACTTGTCTACGGCAGCCGAATACGAAAGGGTAGGAAAAAGGAGGTGGGGCTTTCGGAAGCTTACCGGCAGGGCCGAATAAGAGTGTGGTACTGTGGTACGCGGCTTTCTTGTGCTACGGGGTTTCTGATCCAGGATTTAAATGAAATACTCATATCCGTGTAAGTTATGACTTGTTTTCAAATTGAAAGCCACCTGGCATTGCAGATAGACAATTTACCCATCAAAGCATCGAATGTTTTTTTCTTAAAAAAAGTATGGCTTGCCATGGCTTTCCTTCATACTTGTTTTCCGTTAAAACATGCAAAATTGGTGCGTAAACGCGGGGTTTTTCCCCATACTTCCTGGCTTAAAGATTGATACGATGCTACAATGAACTGCAGTGCCAAAGAAAAAAATCAGAGTTGCAGTCGGCACATCTCAAAGTGATCTCAATGGTCGCCCAGCGAAGCAGATGGGCCACACTTCTCTTAATAACTATTTGAAAAGGGTACATCTGCCGGTCTGTCTGCCTGTCTGTTGATTTTTATGGGGACCTCCATCAGGGGAGCTTTTGTCAACCCTGTGTTCTCTTTCCAAAGGTCTGGTTACGTCTCTGCATACATACAAAAGCAGATCAAGTTGGCTACGTTCAATAAAGGGCAAGTGAATGTCCATTGAACCAATTCATACCTAAGGCAGGCGGCTTCTCGACCGTTTTTTTTTCTGCTGTGGTGTGGTGTAAGGGAAGATTTTTCGGAAGAAAATGTTGTTGCAGGTATCCAATGTGCGCTTTACACACCAATAAGTATTGATACTGCTCCATAAACATGCAGCAAAGCAGTCATGGTATCAGTTCACAGTCAGTGATGCGGGAGACAATCGGGTCAGGGCAGTGGCCGCCCACGACGGATGGGAAAAGGGCCCAGATGAGGAATGTATTACAGCAGAGCCTTCATTCTGTGGCTCCGTTTTTACTGAAGAAACTCCAGTTTTATGTTTTTTTGTCGAATTGTTTTTGGCAGCTAGTATTTGAAGCTTCCGACTTGAAAAGCATCCGTCGAAATATAGGCGCATGAAAACTCTGGCACACTATGACCTATCGATTTGCATTCAAAATTCTGACCAGCCTGTGTCTGGGTGTCGTTTCTGGCATCTACTCTGCAGAGGAAAATGTCTTTCCAATGACTCGAAATGCTTGGACGCTTGTGGAATTTTGCCTCACAGGGAAAACAATATTAAAATGGACGAACGATACTGAAATGCTGGATAGCCTGATTTGCCGAATTGCATGCATGAGTCGAAAAGGCAAGATTGTGCAGCAGTGGGACATAGCTGTAGATTTGTATCTAGCATAGCGACCATGACACTTATTTTTTCCAAAATATGTTACGTGAATTATGAGAGGGCAATAGCTTTCACGTCTACCTCCCCCCCCCCCCCCCGGTCAACGGGCTTGCTTCCCAACAAAGTTCCTGAAATATACCCTCAGCTCGCCCCCCCCCCCCCACTTTCTGAAATGTTCCTACGACTTTTGTTTAAAATAGCATTGTAGTCTCTAAGAATGCATGCTATTATAAACATCCTATATTAACAAGTTACCTGGCACTCTACATTCGAAATCATCCACCATCCACCCGTCCCTGCAAGTGGATGGAAAGAATGTATTCTAAAAATCGCCCGCCTTCTCAAACTAGAACGTCGTCTACATTGAACTATGATACAAATGAGACACGAGTTTCTAGACAAGCACCAGGCACAATGGGCTGATTAAGCTAATCTGACAGCCTTCTCAGACCAAGCCTGACGACAGCAGGACGACGAACCGGTCACCGCCGACCAGAAACGGCGATAGGATCCGGACCTCGGCGATAGCGCGGCGATAGCGCGGCGATAGCGCCATCACTGCCGATGCGCACCGGCTCCCGGACCTCGCTGACAGACCAGCGACCGGGCGAAAGCCGCCGCGGGCCCGGACTCGACAGCCGGGTGGCGATGAGGCGATCACGGCAGACCGGAAGCTGCCGGATCGGGAGGCCGCCCACACGACGGCGAGCCCGGGGCCGGCCGCCTGACACCGAGCTCCGGTCGACGATCGTTTTACTTAACGTTCGGCTTGACGTGCTTTTGTTCCCGCTGTGACGGACAAAAGCTACAGGTCTGGACGTGTCGGTAATGTTTGAAGTAATATCTGCCATAACGTTGCCCCCTTCATCAGAACGCTAAGAATATCGACAGCTCTATCGACAGGCATGCACACAACCAGACAAACATGAACACCCACCTTCCTGATATGGCCGCAAAATATAGTTTGCAATGGTCATTGACAACCGTACGCGACCTGTTTTGCAATGTTTGGGAAGGTCGCGTGCAAAATCGGGCCGGCCAAGGAGTGTGTGGGGGGAGATCAGCAGCCGGGCCTGGGACCGGTGTGCGACCGCAGACCTGAGCCTCCGGTGCCCCGGTGCCAGGGACGAGAGACATATAGTCGATAGCCGGAGACTGCAGGATCGCCGCCTCTAGTCAGGTGGCTGGAAGGCAGCGCTCTGCTCTGACCGCGGGCGTGCGCGACTGGACCCCTGCCGGGAGGAGGCGCTGCGCCACTGCACATGCCACCAGCCCGTCGCCGCAAGCCCCGCCACTGGGTCCGTCCGGCGGCTGCAGGGAAAGTGGTAGAGTCAGTGCGGTGCGGCAAGGCTTGCAACAATCACCCCAATGTTTTCCGTACGCAGGTGGATGCGCTGCCTAATTCATGGCTGGCTTTGAAATTGCTTGGCAGTTCTTTTTCTCAGGGACGCATCATGAGCTCCTGCACCGGCGACAAGACCTGTTTATGTTGCAACCACGGGGCTTGCTTTGACCTGCTTTACTGGCATTCCAGGCTACGTACTGGGCAGCTTAGAAGCTTTATATAATTGGCACTGTGTCGCAACGTCACTATCGTCCTTGCCACTCGCCATGTATCTTGGTTATATATATATATATATATATATATATATATATATATATATATATATATATATATATATACGAATCATATGGTTGACATAAACATTACTCCATATGTAAAATTTGGACAAGGTTCTAGTTCAAAACTAGATGCATCTTGCAACTGATTGATGCCGTCAGCGGTGTATGCATGAATTTGCAACGGGGAGTGCGGCACAACTCAAAGTTATATTTCTGAAGAGCCGGTTTGGCGTACCACGGGCAAATTTCTCGCAAGGCGCAAAACAACATCGTGTCCTCTCGATTTTACACGTCTACTGCGATTATTATTAGGGTTTACACTTATTCGCACACCTTATAATCTATGTCATAACTTGATGTGGAGGTGGGACATATGTTGCTGAGCCCGCCATGTGGATGCCATTTATGCGTACCTGGAATTAATCATGAGCGTTTGTGGTCATGAATGCTGCCGTGAAATGACGAGTAGTCTCAAAATATCAACTAATGATTGCCCACCCCGCCGTTCTACATGTACTTCCCGGTATATCGATGGTCGGCTATTTTCATCATAAACCCTAGTCATGTTAAGTGTTGTCCGAACCTAATGCACGCCTTTGAACTAGACATGCCCGACAAAAAGTTGCGGGTTCTGTCAGTACAAAAATATTTTTATCCGCACAACAGTATTGTCGGCGATAGCTGCTTAACACTGCGGCAGCTGCTGTCGAACCACCATCATACTCACTGAATACAACAGCGCTATGAGTACTAAATATGGCCTTCATCGTGAATTATACGGTATTAGTCTGGGCATGGCTTAGAACTTAGAAGAACTTGGTTAAGACAGCCGTATTAGCCTTATTCCCCGGAAAAGCCAGGAGAATGGAAATATAGTTGAGTTGATATTTCGGACACATGCCTTCATCGAAGCATTAGCGCAAGTCTTGCACTTGTGCGCGACTGCACTGTGACACATCTGGGTGCGTAGAAATTATCGGGTCTATGCTCCTGTGCCATGTAGTTGGGTGTCAATGTCGGCGGCATTCCGGCATTTAATGGCAAAATGCTACAAAAAGTGTCAGTTTCACATTATTGTATATATGTGCAAAGCTGCCAATCGTTTCAGCAAAATGGCCGTCCCGATGACTTATTATCCTCGTTTGGCGCCCATCTGGCCCAATCACATTCTACACAATGTTTTGAAACTTAAAGCCGAATTTGCTTCCAATGGTTGTCGGAGAATGATTGGTCAAGCACGGCCATGACTTATGTTAAATTTTTTGCAAACTTGAACAAGACATTACATACCTGACATTACTGTGAATTTCATTGTGTTGCAGGCATGCAGCGGTCTCGATTGTTTCCGCTGTACTGGTAGGAGTCCAAGTGTCCTTTACCCAGTTCAAGCCTCACAGCCTCATGTTGATCCAAATGCGTACGTAAAAATGTGTTATGCACTTAGTTACCAAAAAGCGGGTTAACTCTTTCTAGGGCGGTCGTCGTAGGGCATTCGGTTCCAATGGTCTGGTAGCTGATGGTGATATAAATGCATATCCCGTAGTTAAGCGTTTCAGCTGCGACTAGGAGCGTTTGCAGAAGGCCTTTTACGGTGAGGTGCTGCCTCGCCACCAATCTCTCAACCTCCTTTCTCAGGTCATTTACGTGCTTCGAACTTTGGATATTAAAATCTGCGGCTGGGTCTCTCCGCCGTGTTTGTTGTCCAATATATTTCGGGACGGTCAATATTGCTCCGACAAGGCCTTCACGTCACTCTAACTGCACCAAAGGATGGCCATGAAAATGCAATGTGGCGGAAGGAGTCTAGTTTAATCTGCGCGAATCGTAACACACAGTTCACTTGCATTTCAGAAGTAAATGTCACCGGACATTTGAAACAGTTCCACAAGCACACACGAAAATTGCAGCTAACTCACTCTCCTCTCCGCACCGGTGTGGATATCCTGCTCCACGGACACCGCAGCTAACTCACTCTCCTCTCCGCACCGGTGCAGACATCCTGCCCCAGAGACATCGCAGCTAACTCACTCCCCTCTCCGTACCGGTATGGACATCCCCCTTCACGGCCATCGCAGCTACCTCATCCGCCTCTCCACACCGGTGCGGACATCCTGTTCCACGTCATGCAGACATGCAGCCATTACTTCGCCTGATCACACAGCAGCACGGCGGCGGCACGGCCGCCCAGCTGGCGTATCGACTGCGGCCCCTCCCCCGGGCGCTGCACGTATCGACGGCTGGCACGTGTCGTCAGGGGGGAGGGTGCGAGCCAGCCACCGTGTCGCCCTGCCGCCCGCCGGCCGCCCACCTGCCGCGCGTGCACGCGGCCACCATCGATCCTGCTGATCCTGTTTCCGCTGTCTACCGCGCGTTGTGACCAGTCTGCCCTTGGACGCTCGCAGCTGTCTGTCCAGCTTGCCTAACACGGTAACGTCACAATTTTTATGACCGCCGGCAGCCGGCGTGCCTATCGTGTCCTCCCCGGAGACAGTGCAGTGTGATGTGTGGGTTTGGTACCGGTTTAAGAATTCCACTGCTATTCCACCTTCACCACTGTTATTTCGCCGTTTATCGCTGTTCTTCCACGCTGACGACCTGTCGCTCCCTCTCTATCGAACGCGCACATCCAGCCCTCTTTCCGCAGTAGTGTCCGCCGCCAGACTGGCTATCACCACCTCTGATCTGGACCGTCCATGACTCGCAGCTCCTAGATCGGTGGTAATGGCCGCGAGATGACGGGGCGTGGGATGCTCATGAAAGGGACTTCGTGTTTTCACAGGATCGATTTCCACTGAGACGTGACTTGCCCCCAGCTCGGATCTATACGTTTTGTTCTCGATGACCCCAGGTCTTATTAAGATGCCGTCAGCCTGGCCAGTGACGGATCATTGCACACTTATCCTCCCCCGTCGTTTGTCAAGCAGCGACAGTTTCTCAGCACGACCGTTGACAGTCTAGCGCCGCGTCTTGCTCGGTGACCTCCTGCTTGACCAGTGGCGGCTCGTCCTGCAGCTCCAGCTGCCGGTCCTGCCACTCCAGCACCGAGCTCAGAAGCCGGATGTAGCGGATGGAGAGACGCAGGATCTCGTTCTTCGAGAGCTTCTTGTCCGGCGGGTGGGCGGGCACTAGGCGGCGCAACTCCTCAAAAGCGCCACTGACGTTCTGCTGGCGCCATCTCTCGCGCGAGTTGGTAAACAGTTTTCGGATGACTCGCCGCACGCCGGACGGCGGCGCTGCGTACGCGGCCTGCACGAGCGGTGGCGGTTCCAGGCTGGGCACGGGCGAGTGACAGGGGGAGCCGCAGTCGGAGAGGCTCAGCTCGCTCTCGGTCTCCGAGGCGGCCGGCGGACCCGACCGAGGTGACTCCTCCTCCATCAGCATCCTGCGGCACAACGACCGGTCACGCTGGTGTCATCGTCCAAGCACCGGCAAAACTGCCTGGATGCGCTGATGAACGTCGTGGATTTGTTAAAACAACGTGCTCAGGATTTGGCCCATGGGCACATCTGTTGAATGGTAAGGGTAATAAATAGATAGCCGAGATGGTCAAAAGATGTGGTACGGTTACACAACAGAGGATCCAGAAAAACACCGAATTTCCATACAAAATAGACAATCGACCAACAGTATCGGTAAAATGGATTTGATTCACATCAGGTTAGCATTTGTACCACTGAATGACATGCGTCCACGTCCCTGTTTTAAAATAGAGGTATTCTTTTCATGGATGTGGCATCACAAAATAAGGTGACGGGATCGAATACGGAGAAATGGCTTAATTTGTCTTTAAATATAGGAAGAAACCCTCTGCCCGGATTGGGACAACTTCTTCTTGAAGTTGGCGGGGTTCAAGCCGACCAACTAAAAACGCTACTATACTTCTGTCTCTTTAGTAGGATCACCTTTTTTACCTTTCTTATGGTGGACACCTTCAAGGTTGTTCTAGAATCTATCCGCGCTGCACTGGTCTCTGAAAGCCTTAGGGCAGGAACGCTTTCAATTAAATGAATCAGTGCGCCATAATCAAAGCCTTCTGTAGCCGATATTTTGGGCTATCATTTGTGAATTGAGGCCTATTCTTGGAGTGCCTTACACAAAAGTGTTGTGAACGTAGTAGTAGGTTACGAACGTAGGTTACGTAGGAACGTAGTAGTAGTAGGAACGTAGAGTATTAGGTAACCGCAACCTAGGTTAAAAAGATGCACTATGACGCAAAGACACGTTAAAAACATGACGTGCATGTGAACGACAAACCACTCGGCAAGACTTTGTGCTGACTTTTGAAAGATATGATAAGAAGTAAATATAGTACAGAAGGGCCGTTCAACGTTGGGTGCGGTCGAAATAGCAACGAAAATAGCATTGTAGCATCCCTTAGCTCACGTCGGGGAGGGCGGCTTGGATTCTGTGTGTGGCAAGGTTGTGGTTGAATCGGCTTAGATTCAAATTAATACAAGAATTATTCGGATTTTCAATGAACTGAAGTGGATTCGACTATCTAGCTTTTAAATTGGTTCTGAATGAACTTTGCTCCGATGTTGTGGCTTGAATCAGGTGAGTCTACACTAAATCAAGGCGTGCCACTTGATATGTTTTCAGAGGGTGGGGGTCTTGCCTCTTCCAGTGCTAAATTAAACCCGCTTCCCAATGCTCCTCTGAGACCGCTCAATGCATGTGACTAAACAGAAAACCTTGGTCAAAAAAAATGTGGGATAGTTCTCTCAACCATCAGCACACTAAGTATTTAGGCACAAACTTCATGGTGGGGATAGAAGGGAGAGGTGTATCAGTTTTTACACTGAGCCCCGATCCCCTGCCATAGCTAGTGAGGCCAGGGCTATAATTTTTATATCTGCGAACAGCTATAACATTCTGCCTCAGATGTAGTGATAAAGTATTGGTGAGTACGTCTTCGCTGTTTTGTAAATGATTTCTGAATGACCTCCTCCCAAATGACAGAACTTGCCCCGCCTCGGGGTAATTTGTATCACGTGTTAGGAGTTGCGTTTACTGTTTTGATTTTTTGTTATAGAGTAAGTTGCATCGCAAGCAATCTGCATGCAGTATGACATGCAGACTAGATGCTCTCGTCTGTGCTGTTTCGTGATTCGTCGTGATTGCACTTTGACAATGTTTTGCCCTTTTTGTTATCGGTGTTTGTTTTACGACTACTGCCACCTCGGCTTTAATTGCTAATGTGGAAATCATGGGTCTAAATAGGTAATGTAAGTGTCGACTTACTTTTTGGATGACAAGAAGTCGTAACAATCAAGTGAGCCAATTCTTAACGGGAAGCCAGCCAATGGCATACTGTCAGTGTATTTCACCACTGATATAGCAAACCTCCACCACACACACAGCTGATATAACATGCACCGGCCCATATTTTGGAAATAAGTTCGCATCACTCTGGCAAGCAGATACCAGCTGTTTTACAGTACATACGACACCCTATTTTGCATTACGTCCTTTCCCGCCACCCGGTAGAGTATTCAAATTAGTCTCGTTGTACCGAAGAATTCAAACACATTTACGCCGGTCGTTATAGTTTTCAACGATGCGCAAAAACTACCTTTGTCGCTCTCGTCTCAAAACGCATGGATGTATGTGACTAGAAGTACGCTGAAAGGCAGAGGGAGCTTCTGTGTGTCAGCTGAGTAAATCAAGATTGCCCCCATCGCATAGACTTGAGATAGATTACCTTGGTACTACTCCACATGCATGACACGGCTTACCCCACTTTCCCCTATCATGTCCACTTTATACCAAATAGCATCCTTTACCTACCTCATGTTTTTTCAGGCCAACCTTTCATGGTAGGCCAGTCCGCAAATGTTTGACAAGTTGTGCACGTGATAACATGTGGCTAGGGATAAAGGAGAATTGACTGTAGCATACGGCAACTTTTACAAGTGCTGGGGGGCCCAGATATAAGTTAATTCATGTTTCCCTCAAAAGCAGCCAACGTATTTATTGCACAGTCGTGAGTGTGTTGTATATGACTGTCAATCAAACGGCAAAACACGGTTAGCAAAAGCAGCAGTGTAGGCAGCGCAGCGACAGCAGCGGTGTAAACAGTGCAGACAGCAGCAGTGTAAGCAGCGCAGCGACAGCAGCAGTGTAGGCAGCGCAGCGACAGCAGCAGTGTAGGCAGCGCAGCGACAGCAGGCGTGTAGGCAGCGCAGCGACAGCAGACGTGTAGGCAGCGCAGCAACAGCAGCAGTGTAGGCAGTGCAGCGACAGCAGCAGTGTAGGCAGCGCAGCGGCAGCAGCTGTGTAGGCAGCACAGCGACAGCAGCAGTACGTGGGTTTTCTTGAAGCGTTAAAATGCGTAATAACACTACGACCGCGGTGGAGATCTGCAGAGTAATATTTGAAACCTAGATAATCGCTGATCCGGCTCAGTAAGCCGACCACGGGTGCAATGCAGAAAATTCCACAAATGGTTTTTCCGGATAATTAAACGACTATCAGTTTGGACGCATGACTGCGTGACACGAAATCGGCAACCGCTCCTGTTAATGTTTATCTCACTTTCGAATTAATACTATACCATGGGTTTACGATCGCTTCTTGAAACATATAAAATTATGTTTTTCAGGCTTTCGGAACAGTTACCTCCCAGCACACCAACGCGCATAAAGAGGGCGAGGGAGATGTGTGCTGTCATCCACCAATTTCTGTCAAGACTGCAAGCGATTCGACCCATGATGCTGCACGAAAATTGGCTTCAAGATAAAGTTTGTTTCCCATAACCCAGCGACGTCCCTGACAGGCAGCACATCACACCCAGTTCCCACCAGACATCCCGGCAGTCGGCCAAGGAATCCTGTAAATGATGTTGATGCATCCCGAAATAACGTTTGCACAAACCACCCATCGAAGCTCCGCCGCTTAGTGAAGCAGGCCCGCAAGCGCTTGTTCATTCCGATTTACATCGCGTTGATTCGAATCATGATTCAAGCGCCACTCTGTTCGATTCACAGTCAATCAGAAGCAGCCATGCCAATGTATCTGAATCAAGAGCTGTCTGGAATCATTCATGGAAGTGATCCAAACGCTGAATCGGCCCCAATAATCTTTCGTCCTAATTTCTTGATCTTTATTCGCACGCGTTTACTCGCACATGACACACACGATACACAATTTTTAAAAAATGAGGCAAGCACCTTACTTTATTAAACAAGACGAGGTGAATGCCGAGGCTGAATTTCAATGACATTTAGGTCATAATCAGCAATGCAACTGTACATGTGTCCGCAATATTTTGTCCACAAATACGAACAGCAAAAACTTTAAACACGTGGTAATAAAATCGCCCGTAAAACTTATTTCTGTGCGGAATTTCATCATGTACTGGACCTCATTTTGCACTCATCCTTTTAGTGGTATTATAACCTGTGGGGACCCTCAAGACCCCCACAGGAAGCCTCAATGGAGACGCCAAATGCCAAGGCGTCCCCGAAACAGCTGTATAGGACCTTTATGAGCCCCTGGTTATTGTAGCTTCGGGGATCTCCAGCTGGCTAAAATGAGTAAAAAAAACACATCCTCAGAGGGTTCCGCAGTGCCGCCAGCGGCTCGTAAGTCCAAAGAGGTCATTTCAGACATTTCCCCCCCCCTCCCCTCGAAAGCCGACGACCTGAAAGCTACCCTTGAATATGCTAAATGTGGACTTAAAATGATGGAGGGAGGAGGATTTTATTCCGCGGTGGTCGTGTGAAGATGCTGATAGAAATTTTGCATTCATGGCATTACCAGCTAGAAAAAAAAATGCCGTCATGCTGATTCAAACTTTGCATTCCACTACAATGCCAGCTAGGAGTAAATACTGTTTATTTTGGAAACTTGTGACCCACTCGATTGCTGCCATGCCCAATCGATTGCTGCCGCCCACTAACCGCCCGCTTATTTTTTTTTCTGCAACGCGTGGCGTATACATTTATTTAAATCCATGAATTCCTTAGCCTTGGAAGTGATACTTGCTTGAATAATGTAAAGCCGTTATACACAGTTAGGCCCAATCATGGTTCGAGTTTTATTTTGCAATGAACTTGAGTTGAACGGAACGGTTGTGAATAAGTTGCGGTGCTTTGAAAGGGGATATTTTTTCACTTCACGCAATTTACGGAAATTCATTGAGATGTCAATACCGCCATGTACCCATTGAGCAACTTTTCAAACTCGCCGCGCCAAACAGAGAAGTTTTCAGGTGTCTGCACATGTGTCTAAAGTCACGGACGCACGGACTGAAACGATGCCTCTCTTGCTGTTGCCCCCCGCCCCCCACACACCCCTTTTGCCATTCGCGCAGCTTCCGGAGAAGCGTTAGTTACAGGACATGGTGGGATCCAGGAGCGGCAGCGCAACCAGATTTTGCGTCGGGGGAGGGAGGGGGGTTGACGACCATGATTTGCGATTGGAAGAGCTTCCAGGATTGCGATCTTTACGACCGAGTCCCAGCCGTATTGATAAACCCGCGAACTGTGAACAAAGTAGCAGACCCCACAAACGCTGAAAGGTACAGTATTTAGCGCATCAGCGAGCTATTGATGTTGTTTTGCTCTGGTGCCTTGAGCAATTGTTTCGGCTATGTATCATACATATTCACTGGGGTTTTCGCTAGTTTCCTTGCTACATCGCGGCTGTTGGGCTGTGCATGTCACTGCCCTTGACAGTGTTTATGTTGTTTAAAGAATTAAAATAGCTTCCATGATCACCAGATACCGGCAATATCTTCACTAGTATCGTGAAAAACGGCGCTCAAACCTGCCTGGTACATACCGGCAATGCCTCGGCAGCTGGTCCATATCGGCAATGCCTCGGCAGCTGGCCCATACCGGCAATGCCTCGGCAGCTGGTCCATACCGGCGATGCCTCGGCGGCTGGTGCATGCCGGCAATGCCTCTGCAGCTGGTCCATATCGGCAATGCCTCGGCAGCTGGTCCATATCGGCAATGCCTCCCAAGGGCAGCCAGTGTCTTTTTACCAATGGTCCAGCGCTTGGTGCTGGTCAGCTGGTCAGTGGGCAGCCCGCTGCAGTAATCAGTGGCGGATCCAGAGAGGGGAACGGGGCCATGCCCCCCTTGGGCCCCGCAGGAGCCCATAGGTTCCCAAGGGACCTAAAGCCGGTAAAACAGACGCATTTTTAAACAATGGCACAACAAGTTGGGACGTCCTCCAGGCGACCGGGGACAGTAGCAAGCGAAAGTGAAAACCCACGAGCTGACGTAACCTATTATTCACTGACTGTAAAAGTAGTGATTGAGAGATTTTAAGGCTCATTACGCTGTCAAGAGGCCTTACGCTGTTTCCGGGAGCCCTGTATGTCCGCTTGAAGGGTACAAATTCGATCGCCAAGAAGTCTTCCACGTTGCCCTTGATTTTCTACATTTGATCGGGGGATCCTGGGCTGTTGGTGGGGCCCTTTCTACTAGCATACCGGGACATTCTTGTCGGTCAGGGGTCTTCCACGGATTTTCTCCATGCATCCCAAGGGCTCTAAACGCTATAGCCGGGGGCCCTATCCTGCAGGGGCATTCTCCCCTGCTCAGTGGCCCCTTATGTTAGTCTCGGTTAAACTACCAACACACTCACGATATATTCATGGACCCTCCCTCCCCGTCACTTGAGCAGGACCCTACGCTACTGTTGGGGCCCCCATCTCTTAACCTGTTTGGGCACACTCGATTGTTCGGAAACCCTCTATGTTGGGTCTCGGGTACTTTCCAATGGAATGAAGAGCCCTACGCTCAAGTGTGGGGTCCATCTGTTAATTTGTTTTTGGCGCGCTCTATCCTTCGGGGATTATTCACATTTTGTTTTGGGTGCTTCTAAACTCCCTTGGAGGGCCTCTGCTCTTGTTGGGGGCCCATCTGTTAAACTGCTCGAACACGCTTGACCGCTCGGGGACCCCCCGCAGTGGGTCTCAGTAGTTTCTTATAAATGGAGAGTCCTGCGCTCTTGTCGGGGCACCATCCATAAACCTGTTTGGGCACATTCGATTGCCCGCTGGTCCCCCACATTGGGTCTTGGGTGCCTCTAATTTTCTAATGTTGGGTACTTCCTATTTGACTGAAGGGCTCTATGCTATCAACAGAGACCCGATCTGTTGAGATGTTCCGCCAGTGGCGGATCCAGAGAGGAGCGGGACCATGCTCCCCTTGTGCCCCGAAGAGGCCCAGGGGGGGGGGGGGCTGGAAAGGATACAATTGACTGAACGGATGCAATTTTATAACATAAAACAGAACAAAATTGAAAGACCTTGGGCCTTCAGACCGCCAAGAGCAGTCGGAAACAAAAGTGAAGAACCCGTGGGAAGACAATAACAATTATTCGCTGATTCAAGGGGTGGTGATTGGAAAAGACACTAAGGCTCGGTACGGTGTCTAGAGACCCTACGCTGCTGCCAAGGGCCCTGTTTATCACTGGCCGGGTCAATACGATTGCCAAGGAGCCTTCCACGTTGACCTTGATCTCTCCGCATTTTCTCGCAGGGCGCTACGCTGCTGCTGGGGCACTATCTGGTAACATGCCTGGGCACTCTCGATTAATCAGGAGCCCTCTATGGTTTCTTTCCATTCGCCCGAAATGCTATATACACTTTTGCCGGGTCCCATATGCCGTGGTACACTAAGCTGCTCAAGGGCTCTTCATATTAGTACTGGGTTCTTTCCACTTAATCGGAGGGCCCTGTGCTGTTGCTGGAGCTCATATACGGCAAGGCACCGGGCCACTCAATGCTCAGGGCCCCCTATATTGATCTAGGGCTTTCCCTTTGATCTTTTTCGCGGGTGACCCTTCACTCCTATCGGGGCCCTTTCTGCTAACCTGTCCGGGCACTCTTGATCGCACAGGGGTATTCATTCGCGCACACTGATGTCGGGTAATTCCCCTTTGCTCAGAGCGCTTGTGCTCTGGCCAGAGTCCTATATGTCAGCCTACGGGGCACTCCCGATCGCTCAAGGGCCCACCAAATGGTCTTGAGTTCTTCTCAGTTGCTCTGAAGACCCTGTATTTATTGACAGAAGCCTCTTTGCAGGCCTGCGCTACCCTCGACCGCTCAGTAGCAGTCTCCATTGGTCTTGGATTTTCCCAGCTTATCAGAGCGCCTACGCCATTGACTGGGCACTCTTGATCGCCCTCGGCTCCTCCACACTAGTTGTGACCTCTTCAGAGGAAGTCAGAGGGATCTTACACTGGTGCTGAAAGCTCCAGGTGTGTTTGCGAGCGCAGGGGCGTTTCGCCTGCCCGTGTGCACAAACCTGACTAAACTACTCCATGTACACTAGTCTAAGACTACAGGATGACAACTTCCCCTGATGCCTCACCCTTACAGCGGCAATACGGCTCGCCTCGATGCAATTGTACGCACCATTGTCGGACATAATTTTATGCTCCGCCAATGTCATGTATGTCTTTCGTTGGTTATTCAACTGGTGACACATACTATGCCTGCGCATCACGTTCTTGATACATTTTGAGCTCTAGAATATTTTGTACTTCTTTACAACAAAGGAAAAGCTCTTTAACAGTCGTCAGTCATCAGCTGGTCACATCGCCCAGCCGTCCAGCCGTCAATAAGCTGGATATCAAGTTCGCGTTTGATTTTGATGGCATTCAGCAGCCAAATTCAGTTTATTTTTTTCTGTTTTCTCTGAAATACTTCACCTCAAAATGACAAAAATCACCACGAACTGGAGAAAATGAACAAGCTCCATGTATGTCCTTCCGTAGGACACTTAGTTTTCTAGAGGTGCGGACAGCAAGATTTGTTTCGTATGGTCAGAACCTGTTTGGAAATGCGATTGTTTCCATGCAAGAATATGTCATGATAGCTCAAATTTGACGGAAGTCTGTTGTGCTATGCATCAGCCGCTCGCTGTTTTTACGCTGATTGATGCGACAAAGCGGGACATTGCCACAAGAGATGTAAATGTTTGCTTTCGGCCTCACCCGGGAGTCAGCTGACTCAGCCTGCGGCCTCACCTGAGAGTCAGTTGAATGCCTGCGGCCTCACCTGGGAGTCATCTGCATGCTTTCGGCCTCACCTTTGAGTCAGTTGAATGTCTTTGGTCTCACTTGAGTCAGTTGAATGCGTGCAGTGGCCGGACGTAGACAAGTCAAACTGAAGTTGACATTGAGCCTGGCCCTGCCGGCTGCTCTCGCCGAGCAGCCAGACCAATGGCGTCTCTTCTGGCTGCGGTGGGCGGAGTCGGGCGCGTTGGCATCGGCCGGAGCGGCACCACCGCCGACGCAGCACTCGTCTGCAGATCAATGGCACCGCTTCAGAGCCCCGCGATTACGGCTGGAAAGTTCTCAAAGCAACTAGGGCACACAGTGGGGGCGTTGTGACGGTTCACAACCTCCTCGCATTTATGACCCAGTTGAGGTGTTTGGGGAGGCTCAAATTAGCAAATGTGTGGAAGTATCATCGATACCAGTAATGGGTATTGATCGAATATACACTACAGAGCAGACCTGAGGTAGCTTCGGATGGAACAAGTCGGTCAATGCGCATAAGCAAATTAGGTAATATCTTGGCAAGTAACCCAAGGCATTGCGAAATATGAAAACATATCTCGAACAACAACTGACTTACACAAATTCAAAGCGACCAAAGGGAAAGGTGAATACAAAATGAGCGGACGAAAAGATATGGACTGTAGAAGGGCACAAATGAGAAAGGTAAAAAGACAAAGGGTTGAGGGGAAAGCGTTTCTAAAGAAATAATAGTCCAAACTTCAACATATCAGCGTTCTGAACGCAAAAAGATTAAGTCATCTTAGGCTAACAGACAGAGTCCAAACCAAATGAATTGTCTTTTTTGCGCAAATATGAAACACCATTTATATGCATACGTCTGACATTGCTCGGCTATCCACCCATGTCACTGTGCAGATCGAACAGTGTTGCATGAATCCAAAATTTTTACGGAAGCCAGGTACGCATGTTGGATGTGTACTGGCAAATGAACTTCCTGTATTGGGAGCGGTGTGCGCCTGACACGTGTAACACCACACACTGAGACCTATGGGTTTACCATGGTTGTGTGAAAATGCGAAGCGCAAGAAGCTGGAAAATGCCAATTCAAATAGAGATATTCCATGGGGTCACGATTTGTCCCGGGACAAAACCATCAAACTTGGCCGACAAATGTAATCACTGGCGTATGACACGAGTTTAGTGTTGCACGTACCACGTGTCACGTGCAAGCGCTAAAGGATTCGTCCTTGTTTTTGAGGTTTTGGAAGCTATTCATCTCAGGCACAAGGTTTGATTAAATCAACAGGCCGCTGTATCGTGTCCCGAATCATGTGAAACCAACTTCAAAAAACATGTCTCCGTTGTTTAATACGGGACAGCGGATTGGTTGTCAAACGGGGGTAGTCATCGCGAAGCTTATATCTTGCCCACAAGTCAGAACACATAACCCCCACCTTAACCTGGAGCTATTGCTGCCTTAAATTCAACATGCTGATTTAACTTGTTTTCGGGGTAGTCGTCACAAAGCTGATATCTTGCCCACTTCAAGTCAGAAAACATAAAGCCTGCCTTAACCTGGAGCTACTGTACCCATTAGTTCAACAAGTTGATTCAAATTGTTTTCACACTGGACCTCGTCGGGCCGGGTGCTGATGCTTCCCCCATCGGCCGTCAGCTGAGGCCCCACCAGCCCCCTACAGAGCTGGCGCGGCCCCCGCGGCCGTCACGTGCCGGGCTGGGGCGCGGCCATGGGGCGTGAAATCGCTGGCGCTGCCGACGGCGGTCGACCGGGCGCCGTTTCAGCGTCGCTGAGGTCGGTTATTGGTGCCGCACGTGGCCGAGTTGAGCCCTAATCGGCTTAGGCGGCGGCTCATAGCGTGGTGGACCCACTCTGATGCCACAGAGAGAAAGTTCAGACGTTATTGAATTGCGATGTTTCAGGATGAAGGCAATAAACTGTGAATTAGTCGAATAAATTGATGGAATTCGCGGAACGAATGGTGGTTGGTACACCCACCGTGCGTCAATTGAAGCTATCGACTAAAGCAAGCTTGAAGGTGATTAGAAATTATATTTCAACAGCTTGTTACCGAATCTTTAGCAGTTCGTTTTGCATATAAATCTGTTAACCAACAAATAATCTGCATAGAAAACTGCTAAGATTTAGGCTTAATGATAAGTGGTATTCAAACGTCACTGCCAAACTCTACATGTATGGTATTGTTATCGACAGATTAGGTTTGTTGTCTGCGAATGAACCAAATTGTTTTGGTTGCGACTTGCGAGCCATCGTATGATCTTTCCCCCTAATGTTAGATCTGCTGGCTTTCATTTCACTTACAATCTGAATTTAGCAAAATTCCACATGCTTCCTTTTTGTTGACGATGTTTGATATTCGCCGTGTAGACGATGTTTTTCCCTGGAAAGCCTGGCATGTCCCTGGCATTGAGCCTAAGGGAATCACCTCCGTTGAAGCGTCCTGCCCGCAAAGCCTTTACGAGATTGGTTAGAAATGCAAGGCGTCACACATTTATTCCGACCATTTATTTTGTTCGCAGTAACTCAAAGCTAAATGCTTCGTAACTAGCATTGACTTTGTTGTTTATGCACAACCTTGGCCGGTTTTCCCTCCCGGTCCCCTTGGTCGTCCCCGAAGTCCCTGGCATTCGCGGACTCCAGTGTCGTCCCAACCCTGCATGTGCGGTATCGGGAGTGCAGCCCGCAGGCCCTCCTTCGAGTCGACCCGGAAAACGACCCTTCGACCCGACCCGTCGAAGCTTCCTAACCGCCAGCGAGTTAAGGGGCTACTTGACAATCGTTGTGCCCCTTCCCCTGGTTGTTTCTGGAGCTTCGTCACGATTCATTAAATTCAGTGGTCATGCATCATGTGGTCACAATCCTTCCTAACTGTCGCCAACGCGCGTACTTTTCTGTGAGACAACTCGATCATTTCGTAGGACATCTTAACTCCTTGGCGGTGCAAACCGTCCCGGTAACACTGCACATCCCTCCAGGGTTCTGGTTAGTTTAGCGGCCAGAACTATCTCGAATAACACCAACCGTTTCTGGATGTGGGACCACTTGACCTGAGCAGCGGCTGCCTTCCCTCCTTCCCTCCATTTCTCTCCTCGTCTTCCTCCACTTTCCAGTCCCTCACTCCAGCGTCGGTCGACTCCTCGCGGCAACCGGCCGGATTGGCGCCTTATCAGCGAGCCGCAGCGACCGCCTGCCCCGAGGCGATTACGGCCCAATCGACGCCGTCCTCACGGATGAAGGCCTCGGGGCCGCACGGCCGGTCGACCTGACGCAGAGAGATGGCGGTAGGCGTCGACGGCGTAGGTGAGCTGCATACTTTTCGGCATGTGCGCCGTAGGCTGGAAGAACGCTCCTGTCTTGATGCGAAGTATTGAAAAAAGAACAACGGGAAAGGATTCTCCTTATCATGCCGAAACATTGTAGACAAAGATGCGACGAAATTTCAACACAAATGTTTGGGTAATGAGGTACATGCGCGATAGGTACAGCAATTAAGTACCTTCGCAGGCAAAAAAGAACAGCATAAGTCAGACGTAACGTTTATAAAACGGCTAGAAAATGGCTCCAATTTTCAGATTCTTATCGGCCATGATAGTTGCCATGGCAACGGTAACAGCATTTCGTGATTGGCACTTGCATGCCTTACAAGCATTTCAGTCCCTTCACAAAGCCGTGCTGAGAACAGATCGATTCAGTATTGAGTTGCATTGGTTTGGTTATGATCAAGGAAGTGTCGCTTTGAGCACAATCGATTCTAATTTCATTATGCTGGCGGGTTGTTTTCCAGTGGGCGTTAGTGATGTGTCTTGGCGCCACAGCTTTCGAATGAGCAAATGAATATTGTGCTAACGTAAACCCATCACTATAGTTAAATAATAGCTGACATATCACGGAAAGATTGTCCTGTCGCTTTGCTTGTTCGCCTTGGAGAGCGTGGAAACGTGCATATTCTAGTCTCTTCATTCAAACTGGCTATGTGCTTTAAACTTCTGAAATTAGCGTAGTACATGCGCTTGAGATTTTAACTCCTTTGAAACAGAACCGTCGGCAGTGAAGAATCTCAGTCTATGAAGATGGTAGCGCAGTCGACAAACGAAAACGACACCACGCAGGAGAACGCCCCTCGCTTCAGCTCTCCGAGCTCGAGCTTTCCACAACCTTCGGACCAGCAGCGGAGACGAACGCTGGGCAAATGCGAGCCCTACAAACCTGACCCTGTCGGCGCAAGGCCTGTCGCTACTTTTGTCAGATTCTTGCCAACATCATCCTTTGATCACGAATGCATCAAGGTGGACACGGAAGCCAACGTAAGATAATCTATGGCATCGTGCCTTAACTTTATGGTAAATAACAAATATTTACGGGAAAGAACCATCATTCCGAGTGCTTTTTTAAAGGAAAGGGATTTGAAAGATTATTGAAAAAGAATGTTGTGAATTCTAGAATATAAGAAGTCGTAGAAGTTTCGGTGCATTGTCCTGCTTAATTTCACATAATTCTCTTCTTGGGCATTGCCTTTCATGACTCAAAATTCTGCGAGGTCGTTGTGCGTGCATGGACACCGTCGGGTGACAATGCGGCAGTTGCGCTTTTGTTTATGATTATGCTGTGTATAGCGTTACATCCGGAAGCAATGTGTGGAAGGGGCAATATTTTGATTGTTCTGGATTGCTCTGGCTGCAAAGTTGCCTTTTGTAAACTTGCTCCGGTAAACGTTTCCAAAGGATGGAAATTGGGAATGCTTATTGGGAATGTCCCTGCATGCAGTCGTTTCTGTGTTGCTGTTGCAGACGGTGGGCATAGAATGCGGCGCGGCCACTGGCAAACTTCTTTGCTCGAAGAACCCTCCTCGATCTCGAATGATGTCTTTGAACCAGAAGTTTTTGTCCTTCGGTGCAAATAGTGTGTTCCTGAACGCAAGTCAGGAGGACTTCTTTAACAACGTCATGCAAGATATGGTGGACAAGTAAATACGCCATCTGTGATATCGTCCTTTTCGTTCGCCATTTAGTTCTCACTTGGAGCATGAAGTAAATATGTGGTATCGTCTCTTTCGATTGCCATTTAGTTCCCATCTGAAGCACATGAAATCGCTTCTGGCCCCTTTAATGTTTTTACGTGGTGAAATAAACAGCATTCTTCAGAAACCACTGTAAATGCATTGCTGTACTACACAATTAATCGCGTTATGGACGAAACTGGCACGTCTGATGATTTGCCATTCAAGGGCAAAGTGATGTTAACGACGCAAAAAACGCATTTCTCTGTTCTTTGTAGAATGCTGTTGGCCACTAGCACCTCAAATTTTTCCACGACCCCAAAAATGTCAGTAATGCTCTGAATGTGTGACTTTACTGGGGAGGCAAGCTGGCGCTGTTCGTCCGGTCGACTCAGCCCTTGTGACCGGGCCCAGACACGTTAAGAACGTGTGGGCCTATACCACTGACCGCATGAGGTAAGTTGCCTGAAAACGCTTGAGAGTGAGTGCAAGTACGTGAATGTCGGGACGCTTTTGTCTTTTGCAAAATGTATTGCAAGGACGTGTGTGCTTTCCAGATCGCTGGATGGCTACAGTGGAACTATCATCGCCTGTGGATCGGTGGGGACCGGCAAGACCTACACCTTGTTCTCTCCCAAGGAGAAGTACCAGGTGCGAACCAGGTGCCTGACTTGTCGAGCTGCTGTGTCCGTCACCGACAACGAGCCGGCCGAGCCGTGGGCTAGAGTAGAGCGAACAGTGATGCGATGTAGGGAGGGGCACAGTCGAGAGATCGCAGATGAACCAACTCGGTTAATACATGGGCTCTTCGAGTCACTTCCAAGAGGCATCTCAGATCATACAAAATGGCTCGAAAAATCGCTCAAAAGATCAACGGCTAGAAGCTGACGTGAGTTGCTGTCATGCATCCTTTCCGGCTTGAAATAACAAAGCAATGCTCTAAGTGTCATCTGTAACAAGAGCTGTCGCCACATCAATTATATTTAATTCCATCGTGTCATATCACTCGAGATGCGCACGCCTGACCAACGCCACCTTTGTGGCGTTGGTCGTCTGTATTTCGTTCAGGGTATCGTTTAGGGCATAGCTTAGGGCCATCTGTATTTCGTTTAGGGTATCATTTAGGGTATCGTTTAGGACATCTGTATTTCGTTTCGCCATTGCGCGCTGCCGCGCTGCCGCAGCCGGACTGAAGCTGCCGCTGTTTCAGTACCGCGGCCTGGTGGCGCGCTGCGTGGAGCGCCTCTTCAAGACACTGGCGGAGTGGGACGAGCGCACCGCTGCCATCTCCATGTCCTTCATCGAAGTGGTCGGCGAGACTGTCTATGACCTGCTGCGACCCAAAAAACCAAGCGTCACCATCGTCGATGGCGGGAACACCCTGCGCTTGAATGTAACGTGTCGCAAGTACCATGGTGCACCGTGGTGCCTCTAGGAGCTGACGTGTAGGAGCCAGTCCGAATGACGAAGTCTTGCCTCCGTAGCGCTCTTGCGGTGTCACAAATATGTTACAAGGGTTGTCAATTTGCCAAAGCGGATACGCTACCAACATTGAACTAGCTGTCGACAGACTGCTACTTTTGGACGCATCCACAAAACCACAGTGAGAGCAAAGTACAACGAATTAAGTGATGTGTAGATGCCAATTGCAAGCCAGTAAGCTATAGATGTTTTGTGACTAACAACCAGGGTATCAGTTGAAAACACTACAAAGGAAGGTTTGATGCCGAAATGTGTACCTTAGACTATATCATGAGTGACTGTGTATTCAACAATGACCAGCCAGCCCCTGTAAGCTGCGGATTCGCTTCCACTTTCGGATTATGATGTCCCACAGCCGAAGGTGGTACTAGACAGCACACTGGGCGACAAATACAGTATAGCCAGCCACAGCCATACCGTTGCAGGGTATGTTTTCCGAGCGAGTGGTGACGGCGGAGTCGGCGCTGGTGGCGCTGTTCCGTGGCTGCGCGCTGCGCACGACCCACCAGCACCCGCGGAACTCCGCCGGCAGCTCCACCGGCCACGCCATCCTCACGCTCAGCGTCGAGTCGCGCAGCCTGGTGGAGACAGAGCCGTTCGACCGGCACGCCGAGGTGAGACATAGCAGCCAGTCAGCAGCGCTGGAGCCGTTTGACCAGCACGCCGAGGCGAGGAACATCTGCCAGTCAGCAGCGCTGGAGCCGTTTGACCGGCACGCCGAGGTGATGCTTATCAGCCAGTCAGCAGCGCTGGAGCCGTTTGACCGGCACGCCAAGGTGATTCACAGCAGCCAGTCAGCAGTGCTGGAGCCGTTTGACGGGCACTCCGAGGTGAGGCCCAGCAGCCAGTCAGCAGCGCTGGAGCCCTTTGACCGGCACGCAGGGGTGATGCATATCAGGCAGTCAGCAGCGCTGGTGCAGAGCTTGGTAGCCATTGATGCGATCTACTCTGGCTGTGCATCCTCTGCTCCAGGACCGAAGTCAGACACCACTTTGTCCTCCGCGTACAGTGTGGTATGGTCTGAGCAAGGAGACTTCCTGGAGGCAGGACGTCCAAAAAATGCTCCGCGCTTTTGAAATACGTGGCGAAGATGTACGGCTGCGTCATCTAAACAATAATGTTAGTTATTCTGCAAATATAGCTCAAAGTGAAGACGAATTAAATGAACACATATACACCCGACTGCCCCATGAAAACAGCCCGCATCGGTGCGCTAGAACATGAAACCGTTTGATTTCATCTAGCCAATCGGTCGCACATTTGCACAGTTCTGCAGAAGATCACGCACGACTCCTTGGGGTGCCAAATATACATGTCGGATGATCCATAACTTTCACCAACCATAGAAGAGGCTAACTGTCCCAGTCGGTTGTTGGAAGATCGTCAAGAACCAGGGGAATACCAAGAGCCAAGGCCAAAGCTTGTAAACTTGCCGTCATGGCGTAATCAAGGGCAAAATGCCCACCTACAAGCTCCGTATCTCCCTCAAATTTGTAATGGGCTCATCAGTTTTGCCGAATTTGCAGGAGTGGTAGGATGTCATGTGACCTATAAGAGCTTATTGCTTATTGTTGGGAAAAATTCGGGATCAAGGGCCAGGGGTCAGGTTCACGTTGTGCCTTTTTTAGCATTGACGTACACTTGAGCCCAATTTAATCCTGCATGACCATTTGCTGTCGACGCGTCCTGAAACTCCAGACACCAGTTTGATGCCCAGATGTTAACAATAGAACTGAGAGGTGCTAAAATGCCGTCCAAGCACATGCAGCCTGGGCTCAGTTTCCGGCCCACTTCTATGTGACCGTGTTGACCCCAAAGTACGATCTCTACAAAACCAAAACTAACTGTCCCTCTGGCCTTTGTTTGTCACTGCCCCAATTCCATTTGGTTTACTGTTGACACTTCGAGATATGGAAGCTATGTCATGTAGTGAAGGAGCAAATGGGACTGACAAACACCGAAATTTTTAGACGGACGCTAGTGCTTACGCTGGTAAATATTTTGATCGTTGTAAAGCTTAAATCGACCATTAAGCTTTTTGGAAATATTGAGCACTCGATCCTTTGAGCCTGAATTTGACCTTGAACAGTAGCCTTGAGAGATGGGATACTTTTACTAATGCCAATGCATACAGCAGTGATTTTTCCGACATGGAGAAGACTCACATCGACTGGTATTTTTTGGGTGATAGAGTTTCCGTCTTTTAAGAATAAATTTGGCCTTGAAGGGTGACCTTGAAGGGTCAGGACTTCTTAACGGATGCTAGTTTATGCGCCAGTGATTTTTCTGATGCTTAGAATTCCAGATCGGCCGGTTGTATGTGGGTGGTATGGAATTCGCCGGCCATTGAGCCCGAACTTAGGGTTTTCAAGTATTATAATATTCACCACTACGTGAACTACCATGCGTCAAAAACCAACACCTTCCGAAGTCCTCTTTCAAGGCCATATTCAGGATTAAAGGATGGAAAACTCCATATTACCAAAAATAACCGCCCGATTTGTACTTTTCAAGCATTACAGTATTCACCAGCGCAAGCGCTAGCGTGCGTCCAAAACTTTGACCCCTCAAGGTCACCCTTTAAGGTAAAATTCAGTCTCACCGGACGAAGAAATCAATAACACGAAAAATTAGCGGCTGCTTTGGGATTTTTGAGTGGCAGAAAAATCACTAGTGTATGAAATAGTGAAAAGGTCCTGACCACTCAAGGCCATTATTCAGGTTAAAATTTAGGCTGAAATGACGGGAAACTCAATGTTATCAGAAACTCTGGGGATTTCGAATTTGTTAGTACCGGAGTACCTACTACAGGATTAACTATCATCCGTCAAAAGGAACTTTTCTCATGGTTACCTTTCAAGCTCAAATTTAGGCTCAAAGAACGGGAACTTGATATCACAAAAAATACCGGCCGATTTCAACTTTTCAAGCATCAGAATATTCACCAGTGAAGGAACTAGCATCCGTCAAAAAGCCCTTACCTATCAAAGCCAATCCAACAAAGTTGAATTCAGCCTCAACTGACGGAGAGCTCGTGTGATCAAAAGCTTGGTTGTCAATTTCAACTTTTCAAACATCTGAATATTTGTCAGCACAAGAACTAGGGTGCGTCGAAAGGCCCTGAAGACTCAAGGTCATCCTGCAAGGTCAAATTCATTCCGCGATTTAGTTAGCGACGATTTACGATGACGATGACGATGCATGATGACGGTGATTCCAATGTTACTGAAAATGCGCCTTTTGGTCAATTATGGCACGAGAACAGCAAAAATAACCTTTTGGGAGGATGGGAGGGGGAGAGTTCTTCCACATACGAAAAAATCTTGAACATGTGACACCCCAGTTTTGGCCCCCAATTTTAGTGTCTTGGGGAGGATGTATTTCTCGCTTGTTTTGAGAATCTAATTCCTGACTGACACTGGTTCCTGACTTCATGGCAACCAATGGATCCACAAGTTCATGGGACGAAATTAGGGACAGGATTACACCGGCGTCATGTCCACCTTAAACATCCGCATCGACAAGATTATTATTACTAGATTAGAAGATTTACAAGATTATTAAAGATTATTATACTATTGCAATTTCAGAATCAGAGTAACTCCGAAAATTTGCTTACGTTTTGAGCGGTGCCCTCTTCCACCTAGTGGGCGTCTAAAAGGATAGCGTTCAGCGCAACTTTGCTGGCGGAAAAATGTTTTTTCGTGCACGAATCGCTCAGTGTCAGTCATCTAGTCGCGCGGAAAGAATATTCTGGCTGCCCTGATAAGTCATTCCAGAGTTTGTGGTAAAGTGGTTACTCCCGACAACTTAGTCGTAGCGGGAACTCTTGCATTTACCCGGCCAGTGGGGGTAAATGTCGCCTACCCATGTACTGCAGATGACGTAAGCTAGGATCAGGCACTGTTTACCATGACATCATGGTTGACAGGGAAAGAAGCAGAAGGCCATCTCATTCAGAATTTCAGACTTGGATTAAAAGCACGTTAGGGGAGACAAGGGAGAGTTGCATCATCTTTATTCAGAGCTCAGCTATGACATAACTACTGAGGATGGTGGACCAATGCGTGTATCCCTGCAGACGATTATAGCCTTCAGCTACATATAAAATGTTAAAATCTGGGAGAACGTCCTCACTTTTTGTTAACTGACATCGGTACGAACACGTTTCAATGATACAAACTGGCCTGCTCTTGGAGCAATTGGTATCACATGGTGGGGGGAAGTTATATCAATTTTGTAACTAGAGTAGGTTGAATCGCGAGCAAGCTGAACGTGTTACGATATGCGAGTAAAAAATGCCCGTCACAATTCGTCGTGATTCCCACATGAGAAATATTTTCCCTTTCTAGTCAGCCAGTGTTTACTTTACAACTACTATCACCCTCGGTTTTGGTGCTCGGGTAGGTATTGTGGATCTGGCATAGGTACTGCAGATGCCGATGTATTGTCTGGATGGCAAAGAGTGGCGGTAATTATTTCATTGAATCATTGATAATAAGTCAGACAGTGACATCTTTGTCGGTGCAATGTATCACTGACACCATATGCCCCATGCACAGCTGGTACAACATGTACTGTCCGCCATCTTGGAAGAAAGCTTGCAACCACCCCGAAATCCTTCGCGAGCAGTCGCCAGACGTTTTGGCGGCATGTACAACACACGCGCTTCCTACCAATCCGTACAACATTCCACTTAGCCTGCCTTTGTCAGAAAAGTTTGAGAACGCATTTCCACCGATTGCTAGAACTTTCAGCGATATGTAAAAAGATATTCTGTCGCGCTCACCCCAAGACGCGAGCACGCATGCAGGCGGAAGTACATTGAAAGATAGAGGGGGCTGCTGTGCGTCGGCCGCGTGATTCACGACCATCTGCCGCATGTGTGTAGAGTAAATCGCTCTGATATAACTCATTCCACCCTCCGCTACTTCCAGCAAAGCTCACGCTATAGGAGTAACACTTCCGCAACTATACCCTTGTCATGAGCTTTTTAGCCATGAGTTATCTGAGCGTAGGCAAAATTGTTTTAGTGTAGGCATATGCATGCTTTTTTGTCATGTATCTGACAGAGTGTATCATATCATGATAACAATCCACCTTTGAGAAGGCAAGCTCAGATAAATTTTCTCACGATTAGAGCTTAAATACACCGGTCTTTACATTCCCTGCTTGAATACAACCGGTCTACCCACCTCGTGTTCTGACTTATTTATATTTAAGCTGATTCACACACATTTAGGCCCAATGAATGTATGTCAGTTTATAATACTGAGCTGGATGACGTGCTCATTCTGTGAATGACAGTTTGACGTGTTTATAGCGTAGTTGACATTGGCACTTCGTCAAGATGTTTGCAAAAGTTCCTGTCATGTTGTCCATGGCTAGCGTTCATGCGTTGCACGCACTGCATCACTTACTTCTGCACTTGTACTGGCTGCTGGGTGTGTATTTACGGGGCGTCCGTCTGGGCCACACGCCCCGAGCTGTATTTCAGCTGACGTTTGTGGACATGGCCGGCTTTGTTTCGGCAGCTGTTTTGTGTATGTATAGTGCCCGCCTGTGCCACATTTCCCCGGCTGTTTTCCAGCTGACGTTTGTGGACATGGCCGGCTTTGTTTTTGGCTGCTGGGTGTGTATGTAAAGCGCCCGCATGTGCCACACTTCCCGGCTGTTTTCCAGCTGACGTTTGTGGACATGGCCGGCTTTGAGAAGCTGCGCAGCTGGGAGAGCTGCTCCGGCCGGCTCATTCCCGGCGTCGTGGTCGGCGTCAACAAGTCCATGACCTTCCTGGAGCAGGTAGGCTTGGAAGGAGCAGACGCGTCTGACCATAGCCAGGGCGTTCAGGCCCCCAACGGTGGCCGCAGGGGGGAGCTTAACACATTGATCGGCACAGGGTTGGGGTGATCATTTTGGTCATGGTCATGCGTGCGGTGCTATTTGAGGACGCGTTCAGCGGTACAGCGGTGCAGTGGCTGGCAGTGGTGAGCTGTCGGTAAGGGACGCAGCAAACAGAGCATCCGACACACTCAGCGTTCCGTATCAGTTCATGAGCCCTGCACGCATCAGATTGCAGGCATGGTACTGCGGGCTCCGATGATGTACCCGGATGACTGAATGTGTGGCCATTATAGAAAGTTGTTTTGACAATAAATGCTCATACTTCTACGTCCGGACATATCTCCAGACTCAAGCTCACACGGAACAAGCGTGCACCTACTGCCTTCGCAATGGAAAATGTGGGGTTGAATTTAACTGGTTTAACTAGCGGCACGTACCTCTGTTTAAACCTGCTGACGACTTGTGAAAATTAGGTCATTCCTCGGTCATTCATGAATCTGACCTTTGATACCCGCGCATGGAAAGTGCTCATGCTGCTGGGCTGTGAAATGTGTACTGACAGCAGTTTGGCATATTTTAGAAACCCGCCATATCGTGACCTATGGCCCGTGGTTTTACACCGGGCCCTCACGGTCAGTTCGACCTAGGTTATCGGATTTGGGGCGTGCTGTGACCTGCCTGACCATGCCAGGCTAAGGTAGGCCAGGCCGAACCTCTCAGGTTGATGTGACCTGCCTGACCATGTCAGGCCGGGGTAGGCCAGGCTGGACCTCTCAGGTTGATGTGACCTGTCTGACCATGCCAGGTTGGGGTTGGCCAGGCCGGACATTTCAGATCGCTTCAGAGGTTTTTGAAAAAATTCTGGAACTTTACAATAGAACCGTGTAATTGGGGTGTAAAACAAATAAATTACTTCTTAAGAAGGAGATTTCCATGTTTAGTTGTTCCATCCACGACTGCACCGATGGAAAGACAGGCAGTGGATGCACCCAAATTTCGACCATTATCGGAAGCAAATGGAACCTGCCATGCTCCCGTATCAGAGGATTGTTATAAAAATAAATCTGTACCGACGTAGTGTGTCCGCAGCGCTAACTTTTAAGCGATATACACAGCATTTGTAAGAATCGATCGTCTTGCAATAGTTCCAGTCAAACTAAAACTCTATATAGTTTGCTTAATGTAATTTCGTTTTCAGCTGATCATGTCGATGGCAGAGAAGCGTTCATACCTTCCAGTGCGAGTTTCGAAGCTAACCCACATCCTGAAGTCGAAGATCGGTAACAAATGCGACACAAGGTAAGCTGCGACATCGGTTTGCGAGGTTCTTAAAGGGAGTATCCCACATTTGGGAAATGCTCCAGAAGCCTACTCCGGCGAAACCTCAGTACCAGTTACGCCTAAGAATAGCTCTGGGTAGTGCTGACATTTGATGCCTGTGCTAACGCGGCGCCATCAAGATATTATGGAATGATTTATTTGAAATATTCGCGAGTCAAAATTACGCTGACAATGTTTTGACACGGCACCGCACTTCTTTTTCTTAGTAGCCCCAGAGTGTCACCCTAGGTTGGACGAGCGACTATTCGCAGACCCTTCCCATTGAATATCTGTCAATCCTACCGCCACCTATCAACGCGTTTTCAAGTCAACTACGTGACCGCGGCGTGTAGCAGAAGTCTGGCCGGGGCCACCACCATAATATGCATCCATTACGAGTCGTTCTACACGAATGGCTTAATGTTCCGTTCGAGTCAATGTGCTGTATGTTGGATAGCAAAAACGACGATGCAACCATGATGAAAACGCATCAGGAACGTAATGAAGGGCACACAGGAAAACACTTCTCTCGATGTCACGCTAGTAAAATCTTTACAAAAACATAGCGCAACTATGGGAGGTCACAACGGCTGGCGGCAGGCGGCTCCAGGACGAGGCCACAAGATATGGAAACGCCCTGTGAGACATGGATAGTCAGAAAGAGGACAGCTCCAACGAGCCGGTCGCCGTTGGCCGGACACTCCAGGCCAGCAAAATTGCCATCCTTTCATCTTAACCACTCCTACATTACATCATCCCCCTTGCCGTCCGTGAAGATGCTGGGAGCTACCTTCGGCCGTATCCTGCCCTGATAACAGGCCATCAACATCAGTACAACATCAACAAGATCAAGTACAACATCATCCTGTTCAGCTATATCAATATCCGATTGATCATTTGATTTCATTTCAATCCCGCAAATTCCTTATCGGAGTTGACGTTTCCCTCTCGTCGAGTGCTGCTCTCAGTCTGGGGCGCGGACGCTGCCTGCTATCTCAGCCGCATGCGAAAGGTGAATATCGTGGTCTGGGTCATCCCGTGGGCACGGGGCCGGGATCACATCTCATCCACTTTGGAGTCGCTGGGGTGGCGCGGCATGAATAACTTTGCTACGCGCCTTCACCACACTGGCATCTTCCGGGCCATGAATGACCCTTGCGCTCCGGTGGCGGCCTGGTCGCTGCCCACCCCTGCGCCGTTGTTGGTCAGCGCGTCGCGAGATCGGTGGCGGCTGCCGCCCTCTGGCTGCCCGCTTTCCGGCTGAGACGAAGGAAAGACTGTGTGAAAGACTAAGATTGGCCCGCAGAGCGTCGACGTAATTTGTGGCCTCGTACTGAAACCGCCCGCCGTAGCCGTGGTGGATTCCCGGAGCCGTGCTGTGTTCATGTCCAGGCTTTACGAACATGACGTAGAGGAGAGTCTTTGTCTTTGTGCGCTTTTGTTACGTTATTGGTTTGTCCTTTATCATTGTTGCATATCCGTTCTTAAGGACAGTTTGAAGCCAATTGACTAGAATGAAACGTTAAGCCATAGATATCGAACGAACCGTGATGAATACAGGATAATGATGACCATTGCGGTAGCAGCCAGGGACGTCGCTTTAAAAACCTTCGGAAAGGCCTGAGCCCCTCACCCCTCACCCCCACCCACCCAAGTGCTGACTTGAAACCCCTTAATGCGTATAAGCTAACAGGGAGCACTGGGCCAACTGGATGCGGGAAATTATCTTAAAAGTTGGAATGCTAGGCAGCAGGCACCTAAACAATCCATTGATATTTTCATGTTCATTGTGTACCAAAAAGTTTCCTGCGGGCATCTCATGCCTTTGCCATGCGAACACCGTCATATGTTTAACCAGTCTGCGTATTCTTGACACGTTCGGACATTCTTGACGACAATAACTGCGTAAGTATTTGTACAAAGAGTAGTTTACCGCAATATGTGGCAATTTTTAAAAGTGCGAGATGGTCCAGATAAAACTTAACACATGTTTTCCCCTAAACAGTGTCAAGTGTGTTTGTTGCATAATGGCGGCTGTGGTGGTCATGCGATACGACCAGCGACGGCGGTAGTCATGAGTGATCCCTTACTAAGATATATTACGATCCTTTTTTACTGTAAATTGCACTCCATTCCAAGCAATTCATAAAACGCAGCTTATATTTACTTGAAATTGGAAGTCGTACCTCCACAGAAAAACAATGTTAAGCCTACGAAGTCTTAAAGAAGTGTTTTCAATTCTAACATTGGGAACGGGAATTCAAGAAAGCCAAAATCCGTGGGGGAATCAGGTTTTGGGATTAGGTTAGGTCGACATTTTCTGCTAAGTCCCCCCAACCGATTTTAGAAAGGAACACCCCTGGGGTAATTCGTAGCCAAGAGCTCTGTTGTGACGAGCTGCGATCACACCATGTGATTTGAAAACTCGTTGGCAGATGGCAGAAAAATCGGCAAGTATTCCCTGTTGAGGATCCACGAACAGTCGCTCCTCTAGTCCGCGACTGCTGTCGCCATGACAGCGGGCCGTTGTCAGCTATTGTGGACTAGAGGTACCACTGTTGAGCTGTTTTAACCGGCACATTGAGGGTCTGCAGGCCTAAAAAGTTTGAAGCGGTGCGTCACTATCAGAGTTAAAGAAACCGGGTGGAACAAAGTTCAGTTAAACACTGCAGTATAAAACAGAATACACTACATGTACAATGCATGCTAAATCTTCAGTTCATACTAAAATATAAAACATCTAGTTCATACCAAAAACTCCTTGATTTGACGATACGTCTCCCCCCAGTTTCTTCTGTGCTATTACCTGTTTCTCGGAGGTGCTGGGACACACCGTCTTCAGCATGTGGAACTTTGCGGTCTGTGGTTCCGGTGGCTTGTGTTTCCGCTTGCTGAAGGCCAGTTTTCCAGCTATCGGTGACGTCACCTTCACATTGCCAACTCCTGTCTTACCCATTCAGATATCCCAGGCGCTTGGAAACATTCCCTAGCCCATTTCATTTCCAAGTCCGGTAACCTATCTGGCCCACCCGATTTCCGTCCAATATCCCCAGTTCCTATTATCGACAAAGTGGTTGAGCGAGCCGTGCAACGGTGGTTTTACCACCACCTAGCGCATAACCATCTCCTTACATCTTCCCAGCACGGACTCCGTCCTCGTCACTCCGGAAACCACGTTAGTGTCGGCCTCCGACACCTTCTTGGCACCACTAATGGAGGGAGGTCTCACTTCTGTGCCTTTTTGATTTAAGTAAATGCTTTGACGGTATTTGATCACAAAATTTTGATTCAGAAGCTGCAGATGTACGGTACTGCAACCTCTTGGTTGGCCGCCTATCATCAGGGGCGCATCTAGGGTGTGTACCTGAATGATGGGTCAGGACACAGCGTGCTGTCACGGTCGGTTGTCAACAATATGGGCGTCTTCCAAGGTTCGGCATCAGGGCCAGTTCTTTTCACAGTTTGCTCGAATGGTCTGTCTTTGTACGCAGGAAACGCACACGTTTTCTTCAATATGCAGATGACATCCAGATTTTTGTGAGTGGTCCAAAGGACGACCTGAAGGGACTAAATGTAAATAATAGTAATGTAAATGTAAATGTAAATAATAGCAATGTAAATGATCGCCTGAGCACGATTTATTACTCTCTAGCTTAGTAAGCTACTTTCTTTTTAACTAACCTCACCTCACCTCCTTTACCTCACAGTTCGTCCCGTTGCTCAGTTAGTTAGATAGTGTTCCTTACGGTCTAACCACCTAGGAGGGGAGGGGGGGGGGGGGTCAAGTCGTTTTAGGCGCTCGCTATTTGGCCTTACCAGGTATGGCCTGCGGCCGACGGCAACGGGCGCACTAAAGGTCAGGTGGTGTCAGAAGGCAGTACGGACCGTGTCGAGCATTGCAGCACGTTTCATTTTGGCCTCCAAATTCTGCCGTTGACCTGGCATTGCACGATCGGATGGCAGGGGTCAGGGGGTCAGACAACAGCCACCGCTTGGAGGTAGCTCTGGTACCAGAAATTCATCCACTCAGAAGGTTCGGATCAACTTTAAAAAACACTACGGCGGTGGTCATTGGTCCGCGTATGGTAGCCGTGCACTAACGGTGCGGGTGGCTCGCCGACCGCTATCAACGGCCCGGCATAACCGCTGCAGAACCAGTGATGAGGCTTTGACGCTGCAGGTCGGTGACTATTTCAGACGCAGAGGAATGCTGCACCAGGCAACCCTTGAGCTGGAAGGCTTTAAGCTAACATTGGTATCAAAATAAAACATTGCAAGATGTAAATTTTTTCCTTGAAATACTAATAACAATTTTTACTTTAAATTTTCTCTTTTAAATAACGCTGCATAATATAAGCAAATTTTATATGGTAAATATAACTAAGCGTAAACGGTAAATGATGCAAACAACCAGGCCGTGATCACAGAAAGCTAAACGTGCCGCCAGTGATGTGCTCCACGTTCACGACACCGGACGACTTCACCAGCTCACTCACCACCAGCTTGTTCATCAGTCGTGCGTGAGACCAGGAGCACAGGCACGAGACTGGGTCTTGGTCAGCACGGTCCCAGGGGCCGCGCGATGCCACCACCAGCGCCCTCACTCGGGCATGACGACAGCGCCACCTCGGCCGCTCGGCAAGCCGCGCGATCCTCTGCCTCGGCAACACGCGGCAGCAAACGACGGCCTCGGCTGTCAACTGTACGACGGCCTCAGCTGTCAACTGTCGCAGCCGCCTCCCGCGGCCCGGCGGCTGCCGTCTTGATGTGCCGGGAGGCGGCGTGGTGCCGCCGTGAGCACTTGCGAGAGGCTAGAAAATATCGGTGGCTCAGGCTCTCCAGACAGTGGCCGCGGGTTTTAGGACAAAGGGGTATGAAAAAGTGCATGTGCATTAAGTGTGTACGCTCAAGTACGTATGTTTGCAAGCGGACGTATATAAGATGCAAAGTTCGTATGGGATAAGTGCGTATGCAAAAGTTCGTACGCAATGGCTCGTGCGAGAATGTTCGTAAGGTGTGGAACACGTCTGTATAATACTGGTCTTGACTTAAGTTTGCGAAAACAAAAGTTCACACGGAAAATGTTCTTAGGCAATAAAGGACGTGCGGAAACGTTACAAGCAATTGTACGCAGGCAGAGGTCCGTGACCGATGGCGTTCGTTTCGCAAAAATACGCACGAATAAAATTCGCATGCATTTATCATACAGTGATACGTTTGTATGGGTAGTTCTCCTATGGGGGGAGTATTCCATAACAGATGGACCACCCGAGTACCAAGTGGCCTTGTCGTCCGCTTTGAGAGTTCAGTGAAAGTTGATCTACATGGTATGTTAGGAGCATGAATATAGCTGTGTAATTTTCTGACTCTATCCACCTTACATTTAAAAGTTATACCATCGGGCAATGCTGATTTGGGGGTGCGAAAGTTCCTATCACATCTGTTGCAACGTGTCCATATTTTGCTCTGGGCTCTGCGGTTCACATAAGTACCCGCATACCGTGTGTTACTCGCGCTTCTGTCCATCGTATTGAACAGGGGAGCTGGCTTTCACCGCGAGCGTCAGCTGCGACCGGCGCGGGAGACGACGTTCCCTTCATCACTCACCCTCACGCCGTCACACTGAGGGATGAGGGGGAACACAACAAACACGGCGGATGATCTGCAGTGATTTTTTTCTTTGCCGGCGGTCCATTCAGTCCCAGGATCAGTTTGCGTCACTCCCATTCACTCTGGCTCATTTCCGGCAACCGGAGGGCAGCTAGCAAATGCAATTGCATAATGGGAACCAGCAAAAAAGTACAAGTTCATTTCATAAAAATTTAGGCTTATCATCAGACTTGAACCAAGATACAAAATTACCTCTGTTCATCGTCGTCCCCAACCTTCCTCCTCCCTGGTCGACTGGAGTGGTGACCCCCGCAGTTGATAATCATCCAACGCTCGACAAGGATGGGCAGGGCTTCCGCACACGACATGCAGTGCATACCTGTCCACAATCTGTTGCGTACCTACCTGTCAAACGAACTTTATCCCTGAGCAGCATTGCATGCAACGACTGTGTTCTTACATGATACATTTGCGTACGAACTTTTCAGTAGGTGCTTTTGCTAAACGAACTTGTGGTTGACGAACTCTAGGCGCATGAACATTGTCCTACGAACATGTACCATGGGAGATTTTTCTATGCGCACTTTTGTCCACAACGACGTGAATATGAACGTTTAGACGCAGTTCAACAAAACAATTGTAGAGAACGAAATCTTAGCAACAAATCCTTGGATGCATGCGGAACCCGCGTTAGCTGCAAATGCGTGTTATTGTGCACATGGCCCATGCATGCAGGAAACAAACAATGCGGCGAGGGGGGACGCTGGCGGTGTGTCCATCGCTGGTTGATTGTAGCCACGCTTTATTTTTTAGCACATACGTATGAGTGCAGTATTTAAGTTACACGCCCTTGCTTGGAAAGGATCCCGCAACCGTGGTCAGGGTTAATGGTGCTGCACCGATTAGTCAAAATTACGGTTGTGGCCGGATTATGAATTTCAACGTGTGGCCACAATAAGGTAATGGGGTGGTAAGCATTTACAAATGGCACTGTTTATTCTTCAGCAGCCTGCAAGTGGTTAGCAATTCCACTGGCGGGCGAGCAAAGATGGACGTTGACATTTAGCCCATAGCTGTACCCCTGCGTGCAGAACTCGCCTCTTTACCCTGAATTTAAAAGACATGGTACTTGCGTGTTATCTTCTGATCTACTGTTATCTTCTGATCTGAACTTCCGATTCCGATGGAGCATGGTTTATTCGCAAGTAGTGCGGACGACAGGCTGACCCATGGCTGACAGCCGCAGCATGCTCCTGATGGCTGACGATCGCAGCTGACGACCTGTGGCTGACGACCGCAGCTGACGGCCTGTGGCTGACGGTCGCAGCTGACGGCCTGCGGCTGACGGCCGCAGCATGCTCCTGATGGCTCACGGTCGCAGATGGCAGCCTGTAGCTGACGGTCGCAGCTGACGGCTTTTGGCTGACGGTCGCAGCTGACGGTCTCTGGCTGACGGTCGCAGCATACTCCTGATGGCTGACGGTCGCAGCTGACGGGCTGTGGCTGACGGTCGCAGCATACTCTTGATGGCTGACGGTCGCAGCTGACGGGCTGTGGCTGACGGTCGCAGCATACTCCTGATGGCTGACGGCCGTAGCTGTCGGCCTGTCAGGTTGACGGTCACAGCACGGTCCCGAAGAGACCATGTTT